GGGAAGAGCCACACAGCGGTTGATGGAGGTTGTCCTCGGTACGACTGGCCATTAAGCCAGTAGACGCGGCCGCACCAAGGTTCTACGGACTACCAAAGGTACACAAAGCCGGGGTCACCCTCCGGCCAATCGTATCATTGCGCGGCGCACCCACATTCAATTTGGCCAAATGGCTGTTCCGAAACCTGAGGTCTCTCACCTCGGACGCGGGCACGACGGTCTGTTCAGCGACTCAGTTCCTGGAGCGGATCAAAGGGATGAGACTTACCGAAGACGAGGTCATGGTGTCATTCGACGTCACGTCTCTTTTCACTTCGATCCCGCAAGACCTGGCAATCGAAACGGTCAGCGAGCTGCTCCAGAGTCAGTACGACGAGACGGACGTGACGGTAAAAAGGAGACATCTCGTCCAATTGCTGAGATTCTGCCTGAAGACGTACTTTACCTTTGAAGGCACGACCTACGAGCAGGTCAAGGGGACGCCAATGGGATCGCCTCTCTCGGGCTTCATCGCAGAGTCAGTTCTCCAAAAAGTAGAGACCCTCGTTTTCTCAACCTATAAGCCGAAATTTTGGGCTCGATATGTCGATGATACCTTCGTTATCATTAAGCGGCAAATGGTCAAGGAATTCCATGATGTCCTGAACTCTGTTTTCCCTGACATCCAGTTCACAATGGAGGCGGAAGCCAACAATCAACTCCCGTTCCTGGACGTTCTCGTCCATCGAAAACCCAATGGGCACCTTACAACGACGGTATATAGGAAGGCCACTAATACGCGCCAAATCCTGAGCTTCCACAGTAAGCACCCGTTAGGCCACAAACGCAGTTGTGTGCGAACACTCTACAGAAGGGCAGAAACACACTGCAGCGAGCCGGATCGCAGAAGGTCAGAACTACGCTACCTCCAGCGCCTCTTCATGGCCAACGGGTATCCTCGCAACTTCATCGAACGCGGCAGACAGGCCGGACCGAGCCGACGTTTGGTGACAGAACAACCAACAATATGGCGGGCGCTTCCATACATCGACGGCGTTTCTGAGGCCGTCTCGCGTCTCTTAAGACCGCTGGGGATCGGCGTCGCCCACCGACCGCAGTCAACAATTCGACATCTGGTCATGAGACCTAAGGCCCCTCTGCCACTAGGTGAAACCACGAACGTCATCTACCGGATCCGGTGTAACTCCTGCGAAGTCAACTACATTGGGGAGACCGGCAAACGGCTACAGACTCGTGTTGGAGAACACATGAGGGCAGTAAGGCGAATGGACCCTTTGTCTCTGGTGGCCGAACACTGCGCCGATGCCGGACACACGTTCGCCTTTCAGGAAGCCGAAATTCTGGGCCGGGGAAACGATCGCATAGCCAGGGAAACAATCGAGGCTTGGCACACGGGGACAACCTCCATCAACCGCTGTGTGGCTCTTCCCGCTTCCTATCAAGCCCTTCGAGCGCA